TCTAATACACGCTCTCAAATCCAGTGGGCCTCGCGTTGAACAAATATTCAATGTGCTAGCACCAGTAATAAAGCATCGACTGTCCTCCATTTATTCCTTGAGGCTATTGGTAAATACGGACAACTATCAAGACTACGAGGGGATTGTGGTGGGGAGAATAAGAAGATCTCACTATATATGATCCTAATGCGCAGTTTGGGTAGAGCATCTTTCATTTGGGGATCAACAAATGATACATGTATTAAGAGGCTCTGGGTCGAGTTGTAAGAGCCTGGCGGGCATTCTTCTACCGCCTTGAGGATCAGCACAAGTTAGAGTGCAAGAATCCTGAACATCTATAGCTTCTGCATTACTTGTTCCTCAACATAATCAATAACGACTACGAAAGGTTCCAAAAAATCTGGAACTATAAGCCAATCTCAGGTGAAGGACACGATCAGAGCCCTCAAGTTTGCTTTTTTTATTATGCTTAAAAATCATATGTATTCAGATTTTGAATAGGACATGTTTCTTCTCAGATCAGTACAACACAGTGTCTAATGGTGCAGAAGGTCTTGCTTGCTAGCGCATAAACAGCAAAGGTTCCAAGCACACAACTGGCCATCCTGCATGGGCTTGCGGTGGTTGATACAAAAAGGATTAGTATTGATTGTTCAGCTAACCATGATGATGTTATTGAGCTGTTAACTGGACTCTTGCCTCTTCCGCTCACCTATAGTGCGAGGAACGACACACCAGCCTGGGTTCTTCTATCTGTTTCCTAACAGAACTGGCAGATGTTCCCTGTTTGCCGACCTTCCGGTGGAGATCTTGAGTTTGCAAGAGGCAATCCGACTCAAGGCTGGAAAAGCCACCGTATTTTCCTTGGTTCACCTTCTCTTTCTTGTTGTAATTAGCTAATAAATCTACAGCATCTCGTGATCCTATTCCATCTGCTTACCTTGAGCAATGGGTTAACCCTGAGGTGGCCAAGATGATGAACACAAACATATCCAAGTTAGTTAGTGCATTTCCTTGTTCTCTATATCTACATTGTCTTTGACATACTTAATAGATGATAAGTATAGCAACAACAATAGCAACAAGTCCGATAAAAATGATCAGGACAACAACTCAGCTGATGACAGTAATGGGAGTTCTATCCTCTTGACCCCTTGCCTTGTCAAGTGTGGATTGCTAAAAGTGTGGATTGCCAAGTGACGATAAAGCAGACTTTCTAGTCAAGAAGGATGCAAAAAGTGTGTTGCCTATGCTGCACTCTAGGTTAACTTACCTATGTCTAAACCTTAACAGCTAAATCATCTATCCATCGCTTATCATGCCTTGGGAACAAGAAGACTATCAACCTTACTAAGAAAGACACCCCCGGGCCGCCACATGTGCCTGTCCCTATGTTCCCTCGTGTCTCAAAACCAGAATTTATGCATGGTGGTAGGCCTGCTGCAGGTTCTTCTCTCAGTAACCTGTCGCCAACACGCTCTGAGATCGAGGCCGTGGTTAGGTATTAAAAAGACAAAGAGTTGAATTTCTTTTGAAAATATAGCGACATACTGTATATATACATGCACAATCACTTCTTAGACATTACAAGCATGTAACCCTGTTGTCAATCCTACCTAACATCTTGCTTCTGTCGAGACGAACCACCTGTTAATCCTAGATATTCTTACATATTAGAAGGCTCGACCCATCTGGTTAAGCCTTCTAACATGAAGAGAAGAGCTTCTGGGTCTATGCTAGGATATTTGCTTAGATAATTCTCCAATAATTTGGAGACTTAGAGTATTTTTTAGCGTATATGTCATGTGTGGTGACGAATCAACATAATCTGATGTGATCAATCCTGTTTCCAGATATGGTAACTTTTCCTGAAGGATACAAGTCAATATCTAAGATGAGGTATAAATAATTATAAACAATTTTGATGTGGTAAGACTTGAAAAACAGGATGTAACACTGGTATGTGACGTTAAAGGGTTTATTATTCTTATTAATGTGATACTATACATATTGATTAGTTCTAGCTCCAGACATGCTGTTACACAATATTATATAAGGTAATAGGTGTGACATATGTTCCAAAAAGGAAATTTCCGCATGTTTGAATGTATAATTATTAGAGAATGTCACACAGCGTCACAAAATCAAAGTTGTGTATTTTGACCAGACAAACAACTTTCATTAAGTGACCTATAGTAACAGCTCAATAAAACATCGCTCCTCCTTGCGGCCTGAATGATGGAAGTGGCAAACTGTTGCGCGTACCGCCAAAGGCCTATTGCTGCAACGATCTTGAGTCCTTGATGCAGTTCGATGTCTCTCGTCTCCTGGAGGGGCCCTGGCTTTGGTTTTGGCGAGAACGTAATGGTTTCTGTCACATGCTCCGGCGCGCCCGAGCTCCACATTGTCTGGGGGCAAAAGAAACTCCTGTTGCTTAACTGTTTGTATCTCAGCAGCAGAGGGAATGTGGCGCAGTGGCGGATGCTGAGGAGATACCAGCGCAGGTAAATGATCTATGGGCGAACTGGAAGGAGGGAGCTAAGAAGTCGTCGCTTGAACAAGAGTTTAAGAGCTATTAGCACTAAGCGAGACTTTTACACACCTATATCATCCTGGTAGACAGCTTCCGAATGGACGGATGCTGTGCTGAGGCCTACATCATGTGCAGCCAAAGTAATGTCGTCCATAGAGTGAACGTGGCACAGTGGCAGTGGAGAAAAGTGGTCGATAGAATGTGTTAGCACTGACCCATCACTAACTTATATATAACTGATGAGCCTCTATCTCCATAGCTGCTTAAGCTAGCAGTATACACTAGAAGGAAGGGTCTCAAAGATCCTATTGATTGATAATATATTTTGATTATTATCATCTAATATGATTATCATATTGACCATTTAGTCATTAAAAAGAGAATATCTAGTACTTAGAAATATAAGGTGGCTAAGTTGTGAGTTTGGCTGCTCTAACATGAGGCTCTGGTGTGTATCCTCCTAGCTCTTAGTGAATAGGGCACTAAGAATACAATGCATTTACTCATCAGTGGCCTTTGATCTCCATCACCTTTGAAAGATGAGCACAGATCTCTACCTATCCTTAGTGGATAAAGCTAGAAGGGAGTACATTTGAAAGGTATACCATCCTACTATCCCTGAGACCTATCAGTGAAATTTTCCGTTACTATTGCCTTGATCTATTTACTGCCAAGCATGCCTGAATACTAAATTGAGCAGTATTTTGCTGATATCCTGGGACTACATGCACGGAATCTTAGGATCTAAGTTGATATAATATTATAGGATAGGCCAGCACACCTCCACCCATTTGCTCCCATAGAATAAGTGTTAAAGCTAGTCAATTCCTAAAGACCTTAGGTGCTGTATATACCAGGATAGAGATATGCTAGAGGGGTAAGGGCACCAGTTTCTGGGAGGTAGATCATACTCCTACTATTGTATATACCCAGATTTCTTAGACTGGTACAGGTCATGCTATGGTGAACTCATCATTATTGGAATAGATAACACTGATAATGCTACTATGAGAGATCTAGAATAGCTATGAGGCTGATTCAAGTGCTGGACAGGCTCATTCGAAGGTCTATACCATTGTATATTCAAGTCTTGGATCATACTTGAAATTATTTTCTGACCAGTTGTAATATCGAAGGCACTCTCTTTTGCTCTATGGGTACCTACCCTCTCTTCAGGTACCTTTAGTAACACATGGCAGAACCATGACTGATTATGGTTCAGGGTTCTAGTAGACATCCAAATATCCTCATACACCCACCTCAAGGTCCAACACTCAGTCTATAGACCTTACTATTCATGTAAACCAGTACTGCATGTACATGTCTTCGAATGTTCACCCCAATTCATCCTCCAAGAATATACAGATATCAATCTAAGTATGCTGGTAGGTGTATACACCTCATTTGCCAAGTTTGACATATTGGATATATAATCAACTAGCAGATTACATCTATATTACCAATATGATATATAGTACTATTCATTATTATAATGGTGAATAACAAGATTTTCCATGCATATATGGTGATATGAGAGATCTAATCTCATAGGGGGACTCGTCTCCATGCTTCCTACCCTGATTCCACTAGGGACTCCTTACTTCTAAGTGAGTTATTAGGAGATTTGTGGTATAGGATATATGTCATATGTACAGGTAGACCTGATGCTTAAAATTATAGGGAGCCCTCACATTAATGGTAACATGGATTAGACCAGGCGGCAACTTGAATCATGCTTATCCATGGAATTCCCAGTGAGATATCAAGTGATCATCGGCTCTAATCAAATTTGGAATATAGAAACTAGAGAAGATTGGAATAATATCATAATATGGAATAATATTATAATCTCAAGATATAGGACCATAATCACAATAAACCATATCAACATTAGGCTATTACCTACCTACCGGTACAAAAATTATTTGCCTTAAGTGTAAGGGGAGCATGTGATGTGACAGCTGTGACAGCTGTGACTGATCACGTGACTGGTCCATGCGCAGATAGGAATATAGCATTGTTCTGGTGCCCCAAGTGGAGAACCATGATATCATACCAAAATTGCATGAAATCAACACAAAGCGAGGTGATTACAAGAATGTGAGCCACCGGTGATCGCAAGGGATTTTGGCCACCGGGTGGCTCCCGGTGGTGTGTCGCAAAAGTCTCTAATGATTGGCCAATGCTGACACAATTATTCACCTGTGACCATAGGTCCCTTAATGAAAGTTGTTTGTATAGTCAAAATATGGGGGTGGGCACAGATGAAATATTGATGTGCATCAACTGATCTCGCATAGTCTCAGCTATCACACATCTCAAAGCTTCAGATGGTTTGGCAAAGTGTGTACGCTCTGAGCATAGTAGGGCGTCGAATGCAAGTAGAACACATAGCTGTATATCTAGGCTAACGAGGAGTATACAAATTATACGAAAAATATAATTAAACAAGGTCAAAAATTCACATTTACTCCATCTCTGCATCCTCCTCATCCCAGTAGTCAACGTCCAATACCTCTGTATCTGTTTCACTGTCCAAACCATCTCCAAACAATCCATCAATGCTCTCGTCACCAACCTCATCTGCCAGAAGTGCCAGATGTGCTGAAAATGCATCCTCCAGCGCCTTCTGCTTGTCAGCCAGCTTAGGAATATGCGACTTACAAGGAATTGTAATCCGCTGTGATTTTTTCTTGTCAGGGTTCCATAACCGCCGTAGCTTCTCAAGCTGGTCGTCCAAACGCTCCCGCGTCATCCATGGGACCCGGATGTCGTTGATTGACTTGATTAGAGGGATGGAATCAAGACGCGAACGGATGGCATCTGCCTTTGCAAGCTTCTTCGCATTGGCGGCCTCTTTCTTGTCAAGCATCCGCGCGTCGTACTCCCTCTGCTCTTGTCGCCGCTTCTTCTCTAGGCCCTCTGATTCCAACCGACGCGCTGCAGCAATAACAAAATGATAATCTTCAGCATTGAAAAATGTTGCCGCAAATTTCTCAGTGCTGTTGCGCTGGCACATTTTGAGAGCATTGTGAGTGTGCAGAGCGCCAGTGGGATTATCGTGTGCCCAGACAACATAGGACCCCAACGCACCCTCATTCACATCATTAGTTGCCGGCCGCCAGACTCTTGCCTTCATTTTGTCGGTGAGGCCGTCAATGATTCCGCCGGGCGCATATTATGATGAGAACCGGATCGAGGTTGCCATCACTCCCTCAAGAAAGGCGACAAGCATTGGTTCAAGGTGAGGCAGATCTCCAGCTTCATGCAGAGTCTTCACGCGTTCCAACAGTCTCATTCCGTCCTCATCCGGAGATGCGCCATCAAGACTTGCGAGAGAATACAGCTCAGAGTCGAACGCTAGCACTAAGTCGGGTTCTGAGATGAGCAGCTCGCACTGCTCACAAACTTGTGCATGAAAGGGCCCGAGAGAAACACCGTTGAGCGCTGTGTCACCATCTTGATGGACGAATCGCATGTACGGTGTGGTGATCAAGATATGGTAAATCGCCAGAACCGCGAGGCTCGGTGAGTGTTGGCTTGTCGTGCAGGCCAGCATTGACATTTTTCTCGATATTGGTGTAGGTCTGGTTGACCTTTCGGATGCGGATAACCTCCATGAAGCGTCGATATACATCAAGGTGGGTTATCAGCTCGACGGCTGCCTCTCCGTGGCTCCTGAATCGCGTGTTGTTCGTCTGCGGGAAGCGCCTGAGACGTTCCTCGTTCAGTGCAAACTCCAGAAATAGCTCGTGAGCATCACCCTGTCCTCGTTTGTCCAGTGCATTATGAAATATCGCACCCCGCGAGGTGCCGTTAACTTTGCCCCGCCAAATGCAATATCTTCGAGTTTCTTGATATCGTCGTCTGTCACTGGTGCGTCACCCTTTTCTGGCTGGAGGACCTTGCGAACAGCTGCGGCGTTGTCCTTGTTCGCAAGTGGGATAGGCCCGACGGCGCCTATTGCTTTCCAATGTGCCGTCATTGCCGCGTTTCCGCCCTTGAAGGAATTCTGATCCTTATGCATACAGCATCCCGTCCACACCCACACTGTCAAGAGGTTCCTTTCGCCCTCATCCATTGACGCTAGCTCCTCCACCCCCAGTCCTTGGACCATCGCTGTCGTCGTGGCCAGATCACAAGCAGCACGCTCAGCAGCGGGCAATGCATTCCACTTCTCAATTCCACCTGCATCTGCAATTTTCTTCGCACTCCACTCCCGCATTCTGCCCTCCAACTCACCCATATCGTCCTCAATCATCTTCATCCGCTCCTCGCCAAGCTCAGTCAGCAGCAAGTCATACTTAGTCTGCCGCATTGAGTCGGAGAGGGCCTTTTCGTTATTTGCATGGTCGCCGCACTGAAACGCGTGAAATGAGAGCAATGGTGAATGCAGAAACAACTCCACAAACAACCAAAACACCCAAATCAAGGTCTGTGTGTTCGGGGCTCCATGGAAAGTATATCCATGCTGCAACCCATAAGAGCAAGATGATGATGCCTAAGTTGAGGTGGTGTGTGTGTGATGGCATCACTGATGACAGTGATGATGTTGATGGCTTGTAAGCTAGTGGTGGTGGTGGTGGTGGTGCAGATGTTAGGTTGGGTGGAGAGGAAGGAGGTGTTGATGTAGGATAGGACAGATATGACATACAGAGTATGCCTCTTGTGGCCAAACATCCCCACAACAACAACCCACTCCACAATGATCCCAACCCAAAACCAACACCAAAACCCAAAATGGTAGTGGTCACAGGCACAGTCACAGTCACAGCCAGTATGTTGTTGATGAAAGTAGATATGTTACCTGTCCCTTGTGTTGTCTTCATCCTTGAGAGTAGAATAGCTAGCATCAAGAGCATCAGTTGCCACACCATAAATGGCATAAACAACTCCAATATGGGTCGCTCCATCCAAAGAGGGCGACGTTCCATAAAGGGAAGCACATCTGAGCATAGTTTCCCATCTTCATGTCTTCACATCAACCTAGCACTTCAATGTCCAAAATTTGACGATAGTTCCAGTATATCAGACAATTTGGCGATAGTTTCGGCGTTCTCGGGTAGTCTCGGTGTTGTCGGATAGCGTTCTCGGGTTCGGATCACGTAATCACAGTGTTCGTCATCGTCGTCGTCAATGTCAAAGACCTTTCCACTATGGGGAGCAAGACAACCGCTATGGGGGCATTGAATTCTGGGGTATCTAGCACAAACTCGGGCTCAATATATACTACTCGCTTATCTAATTTTGATGGCCCCGGCCGCCCGGCCACGGTCACGTGCTGTTTCACTGTAATGTTTCGCCCACTTGCGACGCCTCTCACCTCACGCGTTTGGTTTCACCTCGCGTTTTATCCACCTCCCCGCGTTTGGGTGTGCGTTTGAACCATCTGCGACATGTTTGAGCCCAAACGCGTCCGCTATTGGCTCATTTTGTGTTTCCGGCTCAGCCGGCCGCCGGCCCGGTCCGTATCACGTGTCGGCCGATGTCCGACCGGTCAAAAATGGCCCAGATGGCCGTTCCAGCAGGTTTCCAGCGCTCTACGCATCCCGCGCTCGACATCTCCCCCCTTTTGAAATCTGAGTGTCCTCACTCAGCGTCATCTTTATCCCGATCATCGCCAAATTATCGGATCACCGGTAAGTCAGCCGATTTTCGCATCTTCTCTTCTGCCACATCGGTCTGTTCTGTTCTTTCATGCAACTCCCACCAATCCTTCCTGCCTCACTGCTTGTCTTCCCGGACCTTCCAACACATCCAAGACTGCTTCACAATCCTTTCAAGTCTTGACTGGCGGATAGCTCGCTTGTGACGTGGCATCCCAGGATCGTCAAATTTGACTTGTTGACTCTGGTTCTCTGGCTTCTGTGGGTTCTCATGCATTGTCTGCACCTCCAATCAACTCCCTAGCAATCACTGGCGGTGAAATCAACCAGTCTGCTAGTTTCTGGCAATTGCTCTCGGTAGGTTGGTTGGTTGCGCTTCCCTCGCCGTGTTTTGAAACCTTTCTTCACAGATTTCGACTTGGCACTTTCCGCGCGTGCGAGAGCTCTTCGCTGCTTCATTGTGAGCAGCGGTACAAATGCTCGGGGATTCTCTGTTGCTTCTTGATTGCCTTTCGGGCCGCCGAACCACTCATCCCGTAGCCAATTCATCAGCAATGCATCTTCAACATTGAGCGGTATTCGTTCCAAATTCGCCGGGCCGCGCCTCTTGTGCTCGTCGTAAATCACCCTCGCTCTGGGGTTGTCCACACGCCTGGTTGAGGTCTTCTCTGACCAATAGTCCTTGTTTCTGCACTGTCTCGGCCGGTCCTTCAACACAGCGTTCGAGATTACTGATTCGTTGCACCATCTGCTCGGTCTGGCTGTCGGGGAGAACACTGGGCTCTCTGTTTCGTCCTTCCGACGTCTTGAACGTTAACATGCGCAGTTGCTCACGCAACTCTTCGACCGCATCCTGAAGTTTCGAGTGGGAGTTTCTGAAATATTCCAACCCTGCTGTCATTCCTGCGTCGACAGCTACTGGTGCGTGGATTCTACCACTCTCCAAACGTCTCACAACATTCCAAAGCGACTTCAACTCATCTCGGATGCTCCCGAGATCGTCTCGCAGGTCGTCGTCGTTGTCGGCCTTAGACATTGTAAACTGCTTTTCACTGTATAGGTGCGTCTTCTTTGGATCTAATGGCTCCTTTTTGTAGCGCTTGTAATCGTCCACGAGTGGCATCTGTAGCTTTCGCTCGCCTTCTACAGTCTCCACGGCTCGAGTTCGTCGCTGTTCGGGCGCTTCCAGCCGTCTCAACCGCTCCTGATCATCCTCCATCGCATCTCGCATTCGCAAATGTGAATCTTCCAGAAATCCAATCGCTGCGTTGGTGCTTTTGTCTATGCCTCTTGGTGCCGCGAATTGGCCATTCTGAAGCTGTTTTATCGTTTTCCAGGATGACTCTTCCGCATCCTGCGTATTTCTGAGATACACCTGCAATTCCTCGATCTCCTCTTGGAGGCGGCCAATCCTGTCTTGACGGCCCTCATTCCGTGCAGCACTTGTCGCCGTACGACCTAGTCCATTCTCCTGCAGGCTCAATCGTCCTTCTCCGGGCTCAACTCTGGTCAGATCCGATCCATTTCGGCTTTCGAAACCCCAATACGCTATCGCTTCATTTCCCTGGCCGTCCTGGCTCCATGTCCGGACCTTTGCGAGACGTTGCGGAAGCTGGCCGCCACCTTCCTCCCAATCAAACCCAACGTTGGTTTCCGTGCGTGACTGTTGCTCCCGCGGGAGGCTCGTTTGACTGTCGTGTCCATTGGCAATAGAAGGTCTCGTTCTTGTTGGCACATGGATGGTGCATCCCGTTCTTTCCTGACCGTGAGCCCCAAATCCTGCCCGACAATTCTGTTTCTCAGAATGCTGCTCGAGCTTCACGGCTTCACTTCTTCGGTCGTCAGATATGCCCGGATTGGCAACAACAGGCTCTCGCGGCCGTACTTGATAAACTGGTGGCTTCTTGCCTGCGTCCTCCACTTCGACATGTGAAACTGGCAATGTTCGGCCAACTCTTCGAACATTGCGAATCCCAGAATGTGATCCCGCTTGTCTGTGGTGCGTCGGTACTGTCCTGCTTGTGTCTGTTCCGCTGATTTCAGCATCCATTTGGAGCTGCCTGTGATCTTCATCCTTCTGGTTTGATTCATGAAACTCTGCTGGGGAGTTCTTTTCGTTGATGATGTTGGTGATATCCGGTAAGTCTCCCATCGCTGCTAGGCGCTCGGCAACGTTGATCACTTCCTCCAACAAATGTGGATCTTCTCGACGCCTGTCTGGTGCTGCGACACGAACACCGAGTTCCTCTTGGACAAATCGACCAACCTGTCGGTCCAGTAATCCCCGCCGAACTTGGTCTGCAGATGGAGCAGCTAGTGTTTTCAGGTAATGTTGACACGCTTCGCGATTTGTCAAAACTGACGGTGCCATTTGTAGTTTCTTCACCAAAACCAGCAACTGCCGTCCAAATCGCCGTAGCTGCCCTTCTTCTGCAAGCGACACACCCGCATATTCTACACATAAGTCGGTCAAATCCTCGAGTTGTCCAGTTCGTCTCCTTGCTAACTCAGGATATAGTTCGCGAACCTCCTTCTCGAACTCATTGTACGAATAGACAGGTGCGTACATCTTGAGCTCGCGCCAAAATTCACGTTTCCTTGTTGGCAGATAACTGGTCATCAAGACCTTCCGTTCCTGCTGTCCGGCAAGGCTGCCGAGTTCGAAAATTGTTGCCATGTTTTCGAGGAAATCGGCAAGATCATCAATTGATTCCGATTCGAATGTTGGCCGGTGAGCCTCCCAGGGTCTCGGAATGCGGAACGGAGGGACTGGTTTAGGAGCTGGAGCTGCAGCACCATGCCCTGCATGGCCTGGTTGCTGTCTTGGTCGGGGTATTCGGGAGTGGCCTGACATAAATACAGAGATAGAATTGTCCTGCAACCCATTGGAAAATAATAATTTATCAGAAGCAAGAAGTTCGGAATATTTTTCTGATATTTTAACATATTTTTCTGAGTGTTTTTCTGATTTTTGTGGTTTTTCTAATTTTTGTGGATATTTTTGTGAATATTTTAAGAGAAATTCAGAGAGGGCAGAAACTGAGCGGGAAGGGTGACTGCCAGAGTCTTGAGGTTGAAAAGAGTTGGAGGGGGTGTTTGGGAGAGATTTCAACTGGGGATCATCATGATTGTTCTTGTGGATGAGCCCCTTGCGGTGGGCTCCATATGAAACGCGTGAAATGAGAGCAATGGTGAATGCAGAAACAACTCCACAAACAACCAAAACACCCAAATCAAGGTCTGTGTGTTCGGGGCTCCATGGAAAGTATATCCATGCTGCAACCCATAAGAGCAAGATGATGATGCCTAAGTTGAGGTGGTGTGTGTGTGATGGCATCACTGATGACAGTGATGATGTTGATGGCTTGTAAGCTAGTGGTGGTGGTGGTGGTGGTGCAGATGTTAGGTTGGGTGGAGAGGAAGGAGGTGTTGATGTAGGATAGGACAGATATGACATACAGAGTATGCCTCTTGTGGCCAAACATCCCCACAACAACAACCCACTCCACAATGATCCCAACCCAAAACCAACACCAAAACCCAAAATGGTAGTGGTCACAGTCACAGTCACAGTCACAGCCAGTATGTTGTTGATGAAAGTAGATATGTTACCTGTCCCTTGTGTTGTCTTCATCCTTGAGAGTAGAACAGCTAGCATCAAGAGCATCAGTTGCCACACCATAAATGGCATAAACAACTCCAATATGGGTCGCTCCATCCAAAGAGGGCGACGTTCCATAAAGGGAAGCACATCTGAGCATAGTTTCCCATCTTCATGTCTTCACATCAACCTAGCACTTCAATGTCCAAAATTTGACGATAGTTCCAGTATATCAGACAATTTGGCGATAGTTTCGGCGTTCTCGGGTAGTCTCGGTGTTGTCGGATAGCGTTCTCGGGTTCGGATCACGTAATCACAGTGTTCGTCATCGTCGTCGTCAATGTCAAAGACCTTTCCACTATGGGGAGCAAGACAACCGCTATGGGGGGCGCATTGAATTCTGGGGTATCTAGCACAAACTCGGGCTCAATATATACTACTCGCTTATCTAATTTTGATGGCCCCGGCCGCCCCGGCCACGGTCACGTGCTGTTTCACTGTAATGTTTCGCCCACTTGCGACGCGTCTCACCTCACGCGTTTGGTTTCACCTCGCGTTTTATCCACCTCCCCGCGTTTGGGTGTGCGTTTGAACCATCTGCGACATGTTTGAGCCCAAACGCGTCCGCTATTGGCTCATTTTGTGTTTCCGGCTCAGCCGGCCGCCGGCCCGGTCCGTATCACGTGTCGGCCGATGTCCGACCGGTCAAAAATGGCCCAGATGGCCGTTCCAGCAGGTTTCCAGCGCTCTACGCATCCCGCGCGCTCGACAGCACATCCCTCGAAGACGCCGACAAATTCCCCGCAAGTCCAAGCTCCCGGTACGTTTAGCAAGAGGGCTCTCGTTAAAGGTTGTCATAACATCATCGTAGACCTTCATCCATGTTGCATGCGAGGTCGTTGTGCTATGATCTGTTGTCGAATGGACGCAAATCTCATTGTTGGTGACTCTGCAAAGACGACCTGACCGCTGGCGTCATACCCGACAGGAACCTTCAAATGGATATGGTGCGACTGGTAGTTTTGGTGGCGCCGCCCGGTGCTGTCGCTGCTCATTGTGAAATCTAGAGGTCCGTCGTCAGTTTCTTTTGCGAACGACTGTGACTGTCGCTAACCTTGGGTCTATTTTAGCTCGAAGCCAATCTGCATGCGGGCCATGACAAGGCCTTCCAAGGCAATCCGGCCCACCGTTCGTCGACTCAGTACCCAATCCAGCTGTATCCCGAATGCAGCCGCCACTTCCCGCACCACCTGGCCAATACGGTCTTGCTTGCAGCCACAGCTAAGCAGCATGCGGACCATTGCCCGTATCTCCTGCTTGAAGGTTGCGGCCTTTCTTTAACTGTGTCCTGGCGCGCTTTCTTCTCCTCAGCTGATCCCACACGCAGCTTGTCCTTCAAAGCATCATAGCGCCGAGCCCTTGCCTCCAACGCCCGTAATCTTGCTTTCAGATAGCACACATCAGCACTTGTAGATGCAGTTCCGTCCGCGGCATCTATGGCTTGCTTTTGCGCCATGTCCAAGCGGGTATGCGCCTCTGCAATCATGGCGCGGAACCTGGTGTCACGCTCAAAGCCGTCTTGCAGGGTCTTGTACAGCATTGCCTGAGCTTCCTGCGTGGCAGCTTCAAGCTCAGCCTTTGCTGTCGCTATCTCCTTGTCCTTGGCCACCAAGTTTTGCCGGAGTCGCGTCTCGCGTCGCAATGCCAGATGGTACTTGTGGATGAGTTTTTGGTAAGCTAAGTCAGTGGCACGAAGTTTCTTCTCATAGCTTTGAATCAGTTTTTTTCTTTGAGGGCTTGGAGGTGGAGATGGGGCTGAGTGGGTGGGTCGCTGATTCTCCTTATTGTCAAGTTGCGCAAATTTCTTCTGTACATTTTGCCGCCCTGCCGCCCGCTTGGCTTTTGAGGGATTCTTTTTGGTTCTTTTGCCCATACTGACCTATAGTCTGTTTGTAGTTGATTTTTAATGCATTGAGGAACGTACACAGTGTCCGATATAGCGTGCATGTGCTTCTCGCACCGGTCTGAATAGCCGAGACACGCTGAGTCACGTCGTGACAGTGTCAATCAAGGCAGTTGGCAGGCAAATCAGTTGGGGACATTTTCTGTCAGATACAACACGTTCCAGGCTCTGATTTTTGACCAAACTGTGTCTTTGGGTCCATTCTACATTTATTACTTCTGGCTAAGATTTTGGTCCGTTCCCCGCGTTCGAGTTGGCATCAAACACGCGACATGATAAACCATTTCCGTCGCTGGAAGTAACAATTATGCATGTACATGGACATGACATATTTCTGCAATGAACTACATCTGAGGCCCTGTACATGGCCTTTAAAATGACCTCCCATATCTGCCCCTTGGCTCCCTGCAAAACTAGCCGAGTGATCGTGATGGCATTTCCATCATGATGTGCTCGGTGCCCACCCCTACAAAATACACAACTTTGATTTGTGACAATGTGTGACATTCTCTCATAATGGACAGTCAAATGGCGAAAATTTCCTTTTTGGGAAGTTTATCACATTGTGACACACATGTAACAGCGTGACCCTGGGCGGTAAGTCTAAGCTAAGTCTCTGGAGACTTGGATTATTCATTATTATTCATAACATTAGAGATTCCAATGATAATATCTTTGTGACATCACATACCAGTGTCACATCTTATTGTCTGAGTCTTACCACATCAAAATTATTTATAATTATTTATATCTGATCTTAGATATTGACTTGTATCCTTCAGGAAAAGTTACCATATCTGGAAACAGCATCGATCACATCAGATTATGTTGATTCGTCACCACACATGTCATATACACCAAAAAATACTCTAAGTCTCAGAATTATTGGAGAATTATCTGAGCAAATATCACAGCATAGGCCCAGAAGCTCTTCTCTCCATGTTAGAAGGCTCGACCAGATGGGTCGAGCCTTCATCTGGTCGAGCCTTCTAATATGTGAGGATATCTGAGATTAACAGGTGAGACGAACATAATCCTGTTTCATATGTACGCTCCGAGTCTATGGCATAAGTAAATGATCATTAGGAATCGGACCAGCTGCAGGTGACTTGAATGATTAGACACACCAGCACAGTCAATGGAAATATATTCAGAATTATACATGCAGTCCTCTAAGTAAAAAAAAGTCCCAGCCAACGCCTTCCCGGAAGTCATGTGACCGGGAAGACGTCGACTGGGACTTTTCTCGTCTGACTTCGCTGCACTGTTCTATGAAGATGGCCAATATTGAATAGTAAGATTCTGAGTAAGGTTGAGTTTCGAATTGTCTTCCAAAATTTGTCGAAGTGCTCAAATTTCGAACGAGAACAGGCTAACTCGATTGATTCTCCCAAATATTATGTGCGGGGAATTTATGCGCACTTTGAACAGCATAGGGCGGAGGCCAACCAGAGTGTCGACATGACCGAGTTGTATGATAGGTTCCACCGTAGATGGGACCCCGAATGGACAGACATTCTATTTGTGTTTTGTCAGCCTGACACCAGGACTGTCAGAGTGTAAGTAATTTACTTGCCATCCAGCAAAACGAAGGTCGCGGGATGGTTATATCATCGCCCGCGGAGCTATCCTTAATCTTCAAGGAGGCCGACCTGACCTGGAAGTGGGCCCCAAGGTGGCGGGATCAGAAAAGAAAATGGGTCTTCCCAAAAAGGAAATCGCCTCTTCTCTTTTCTCCGCCATCTCCCATGCGGGCATACTACTTCGACAACGTCCCTTGCGACCAGCGACTCGCGCACGAGCCCGTCCCCAGCCGCCCGGTGTCCGCCGACACTCTGGCACAGATGGGCGTGCTGACGTGGCACATCCCCGTCGCTGGCTATGAAGACAAGGTCGATGAGGTTGCGCGGGAGCGGGGTTACAAGAACAGGGACACGATTAACGTGTCGAGGGAGGGCATGGGCGAGGCCTACGAGGCGAAGATTAGGGGGTTCTTCGAAGAGTGCGTGGCCATCTCCTCATCCCTTTTGTTGTTGACGAATGCTCCCCCGCCACAGACACATGCACGAGGACGAAGAGATCCGATACATACTGAGCGGGAGCGGCTTCTTCGATGTCCGCGGTGCGTCACTGCAGCCTTTTCGCCCTCACTCTTGCTGACGATGCTTCAACAGAAACACCGTCTGACGCTTGGATTCGGGTGGCTGTTCAGCCCGGCGACCTACTTGTCCTGCCTGCTGGCATCTACCATCGCTTTACTCTGGACGAGCGGGACAACATCAAGGCCCTGCGGCTATTCCAAGACGAGCCAAAGTGGATTCCCCACGCGCGAAGCAGTGCGACTGATATCAACGACCATCGCGTGGGCTACCTGCGAGCCATAGGAGTCGGCGCTTGAGTATAGCGAGGCGGGAAGAGGAAAACCAGCCGTGTAACATGGTGTACAACAGCAACAGCATACGATGGATCTATGTTCATTCGATTCGCTCCGGAAGCCATCATGCCAATGTCCTACGACCAAATCCACGCCTCGTATTTCTACGCTCCGAGGACCCGATGCGCGCTACTTTGCGATTGAGTGACATTCAATACGACCAGAGCTAAACAATTAACTACGGCCACGGCCAGCATCTCCATTTACTCGATTGCGATTCCGAGCCGCTGATTTCAGGAAATCCCTATCACTCCACCCTCTTGCGCAGTAACACCTGCCCCCGCGTGTTCGGATTTATGCGAATGCCATAGACCTCGTCAGGAGGCCGCACGCCATCGACGACGGCTTTCACATCGTAGTTCAGCACGAGGTGTGCGAGCATAGCCTTGAGCTCGGTTGCGGCGAAGAAGCGGCCCTGGTTCCATTATCAAAAGTAGAGCGCAAGAAAGAAGTGCTCACGGGACAGGCGTGCTTGCCGGTGCCGAAGGGCAGGTGGTCCGGAGCGGTGGTGATCATTTGCCGCCCCAACGCATGCTTCTCGACACTGGGCTCCGCCTCCTCTTTCGCTATCTGGGCGTCTCGCTCGCGTGCGAAGCGGAAACCATCAAACTCCTTCGCGTTCTCGTAGTTGGCTGGTTCCACTGCTCAGGGTGAAATTCGGGCCGGGAAGAATGGGGCTCACCGTCGTCGACGTGTGCAGGCATTGCAGCAACGCAGATGAATGCACCGTGGGGCAAATATGTCCCGTCCGATAGCGTCACGCCGTCGCGTGCAACCACACGGCGGGTCATGCCAACCGGGCCGTTCCCATGCATGCGCTGCGACTCGCGGAGGAAGCTGTCGATCAAGTGCATGTTCCCCAGCGCGGCCTTGCTCCACCCCTCGTCTGCGATCACCGCCTCGACCTCGGCGCGCATGGGCAGCAGATATTTCGCGGGCTCGAACGACGCGAGCGAGTACAGCATGTGGGTGAAAGCCTGGGTACGGCATCGGATTCGCATAGAAGAACAGAAAGACAAAGGGCGCACCATAGAGGTCGTGTGGATGGCCGCCATATTGACCGCCAGGATGCGCATGACAATGCCCTCCACAGTTCGGTTGTCCCCGTGTGCAATTTCGAGGATCCACGAGATCAAGTCGTTCTGTTGAATCGGTGTTCTGTTCAGCACAAAGTGAAGCAGTAAACGGAGACGCACGGGCTTGCCCGACCAATCCGGCCCGTACTCGTCTTCCTGCCGCATCCGCTCTGCCACGACCGGCCCTAGTAACCGCATGGCCGTGTCGAACGACTTGTTCCGCTTGGTGATCAAGGGGCCGAGCATCCTGTCCAATTATCAATGTGGATGCAAATTGCGAGGACAAGCCACTGACGGGCGCAGGAACGGCGGCAACAGGCCGATGTTCTTGGAGCTAGCCATGACGTCGATGGTGTACTGCACATTATTGTCGAGGTATGCCTTATTTAGACCTGCAAATGGATATTAATGCATCCAAGAACTTGTTGGGGCACGTACAGAGCGGCAAGCCAACAAACAGGCGATTGCTAACCCGCGCGACGATATCCATAATCGTCGGCAGGACATAGACGGACTTCCACTCCGTGCGCAGGCCAACTATCTCGTCGAAGCCACAGACGATCTCGTCGCGGACATCAGGGAAGCGAGCGTGAAGGTTGCGCGTCAGGGTTGTGCGCACGACAGCGAGGTGGTATGGGTTGTCGATCACCTCGTGCCCCATGGTTATCCGCGCTGAAGGGACCGCTATCAGGAAATTGCGCGAGACGCTGGAGAATACACACATTGTACGATCTGCAGCAGACAAGTCAGCGCAATTCAAACGGCGAAGAAAGAGACATACCTCCTCGACGCCCTCGGTGAATGACACGACGTTCTCGGGCAGCCCACCGATCTCCTTGACGAGGCGCGTCCCACAGGCGACGTATTCCCAGTACCACATGCGCGCGACACGGAACACTGCGTTGGGGTAGAGCCCTCCTGTCCTCCCGCGTGGAAGGTCTGATTCGCGCGCCCTGGATCGAAGATGCCGCGGGTCGAGGTGGGCATTTGGCGACGCAACCTCCCGCGTGGCTCGGTCAGCTCAAAGCGCAGCGGCGTGTTTGGTGTCTAGAAGAAGGTGGTGCCGAAATATATTGATTCTCGTGTATGCAAGTCGACTCTACGACGGATGCTTGTTTGAAAGTCAATCTCGCAGGAGCACGCACCTCAAACCTCGCACGACAATACGCTCTCTACCGTCTCGACGTCTCGCCCCGGCTCCAGAGCCTCATCCGTGCTCCAAACGCCCCGTCTTCGCGTCCCGCAATGAGCTCTGTGGGAAGCTTGCTTCATGTCAGGCCCGCACTGTAGAAGAACAGCATCAAGACTCACCTCTACTCTGCCCCCGATACACACGATGAGGAAAAAGCGTGGGCCAGCGACCGGCTCCATCCGTAGAGCCGTGTCCCGCTCACACCCAGCCATGTCACGCTTGTCGCGCACCGGCTGGCAATCCAACGGCGGGCGGCAGTGGCCGGACAAGGGGCGGGGGATGGTCGTGAGGGTGAGGGAGGAAAAAACGTGGGATGGCAACCGGCCTGATCGGGCCTGACTCACCCGTCGCCGGGCACGTGCCCCTTATCAACCACTCTTCTCCCGTCTCTTTCCCCGCGCCTGCTGCCCCGCCCCGCCCGCCTACCGCATGCCCCGGGCACAGCAGAGGTGTTCCGCGTCTCAACGGACCACAACAGCCGCAGCGCTTGCCGTAGACGGCATTCTCGCCAGCCGCGGCCCCTCAGTGCTCACTCAGCAGCAACAGCGCCGAATCTGTCTACTACGGCGCTCACTACTCGCTCAAGTCCACTCTTCCGCCCTCATTGCTACCCACGACGACCAGTGCCCCACCACAAGCGACCTCCCCCGCAATTCCTTGCCGCGAATGCCTCCGGAACCGCCGAATCGATGCTAAGCAAGAATCTGGTCAATGTCCTGGGCGACGACAACGAAGAGACTCATACCTGCGGGCCCAACGCGCAGCGCCAGCTCTCACTCTCAACGTGTCATCACGTTCACAGTCGGCGATAACTACCGGGCGCCTCGGAACCCGCCGAATGCACGCTAAGAGTCAGTCAGCAAGCTCGGCAGCAATGAAGACCAGACCTACACAACGAGCTCGCAAAGCCTTTTGCGCAAGCGTCCGCTGGGGTCGTTGACAACAGCAGCGCAAGAACTACGGCGAGGTAAGCACAGGGAATGAGCCGATAAGCGACTACTCACTCATGATAGAGGTGATGAGGATGGTAGACACAACGACGAGCATAGTGGCTGCGGCGTCAACGATGGTCTACTGATATGTGAGCAAGCGGACCAATAACGTGAAGAGTACTCACCAAGCGCAAGGTCCCCGGCAGACACGAGGGCAACGGTGGCCTGTCGAACCAGCAGCATGGCGCTCGACTTCAAGTTGGACAGTAAGCGTAACGCGGGAGGGAACCTACTGCGGGGTAAGCCCAGGCAAACGAGCGGATAGATGTTGTTTACACTCACCAGTTTCAGGCCCGACGACAACGTCAACCCGTGTTCCCATCAAGGCAACGCCCTTGTCATCAGAAGATACTGCGAAAACGACCATAAGTCGCAAAGTCAAGACGACGACGACAACTCACTTGGATCCGCTCCAGCAACAACGGCCACCATCGGCATCCCAGAGCCATGACCTGTCGACAACGGTGAGCGACGCAACGGACCAGAGAGCGCGGATGGTGACCCACAGGCCAACTCGGGCGTTGTCGGCACCAGTAGGAGAACCACCGGCGGCGTCGTTGAGAGCAACGACGACTGCGACATGACGGTGAGTGTGAAGTCAGCGAGGCAGTGCGGGAGACTCACATGCATTGTCGCAGCCTACAACGCAACGTTGAAGACGACGAGGAGCGAGCACAAAGGGGGGAGAATGGGGGAAAGAGAAAGAGAGACACGCGCGATGGTTGAACGGCGTGGGTTCTTATAGGGCTGGCGCTTCGCGTAAGCGACGGGCATGTCGTTACCACCGAGAACTTCTTCAAAATGGAGACATGTTGGTTTCAACGCCGTAAGCGAGCGGGCAGTGGGAGTACCGGATATCTCGCGCGAGTGCGTCTCAAGCATTCTTGCCAATTACCTCAAGCTCAAAGGTGGGGACTATATTCTTTCAGCCAGCGTTGGATAAGCAGAGGAACCAAGCACAAAGTCCGCGAGACGGAGATACTTTGCTCCACAAACGGCGACAGCTGTCCATCTGTCAAATGGACGTTGTGCGGAAATTTGCGCGGCAACACGGCCTTCATGAAATGGAAACCAGGGTGAGCCCCGGAATTAATTCATGAAGATCGTACGATTGAGGGTCGTTCTGAGGCATGTTCTGGGTAGGGCTTGTCTATTAATATATATCTGTAGACTTAATCGGCCAGCTCGGCGCCCGCTTGGTCAATGGAGGCGCAAAATGAAAGAAAATGGTTTTTGTTGAAAGGAGCAGGATCGTGTTCTGCGATAAGTCTCGGGCAAGCCTCGGGGATTGACAGTCGTGATATAAATAACTTTCCTGAATGAAGTCCGCCGGTAGGTGGAGCGGCGCGAGAATCCGAGCCATACCGGATGAATTACTGGATTTGGGTAAGGGTAGTACTTAGTGATGGCGCACCAATATCGCGCATCGGGCACTGGGAGTGGGGCAGTGGAAAATAGAGCAATATCTACAGAAGAAACGCGTCATTTTGCGGTGAACTCCGAACAAAATGACGCGAAAAAAGGGATGATTGGCTGAAACTCGGAAACAAAAGGAATGGAACGTTAGCAGGAGAAAATGGGGCAGGAGCGGAGCCAGCAGAGCGAGGAGGACGATACAGAGAGCCTCGCTCAGGGTTACATCAGGGTCGCCTCGGCCGGCCTGTCATGGCATTCCCGATCATTAATATTACTCTGTCGGCGGCTTCTTTCTTCCGTGATAACGAAAGCAACCCTGAATCGCCTCGCCGTCGGTCATTTGCTGCTCCCCGAGGCTCGCGACGCGACGGGTGCGCGGTAACTACTGAGGCAACTAAATATAGTCGTCGGCCGGCAATACCCGGTGTGCCCACGATAAGGACTTGGCCTGCTAAAATGCAATTTTCTCTGAATACTATCTAAACTTCTATTGCTTCCACCAGTCCTCCATCCTGTCTATTGGCAGACAGCCAGCTTGCTTGCGCAGACTCTAAAAATAATTCACGTAACAACTACGTCATGGGCCGTTCTCGACCGCCGGGCATGGATACCGTCGCCCGGAATAATTTTAACCCCGGCTCAGTCATACTCCGTGATAAAAATATCGCCGTCGCTCGTGAGTCATGCGAGTGATCAGCATCAATCCAGGCTTGACCATCGCCATCGCCATCGCCCTCCGCAACGCCCCCTTTCGTTTATCATCCAGCCGCTGGCCACATGCGCCTCCCACAACGCTATTCGCCACCGCTGGGCCGACTCCGCGTTGCATGGTCGCCTGCTGGAGGCAGTGGGCGCTGGGGCTATGACTGGGGTTACTCTGCGTCTGTGCGCGTGCCGATGCATGGGTGGCCACTGGCGCACTACAGCGGGCAGCCCCCGCTGGGCATAACCATTGACTCGTGAGTGCTTTGCCATCACCTCCGTTCACCGACCCTGACTCGGTGACAGCGAAAATGCCGCAACGTGATGCCCGTCATCACGAATCAAATCATCAACAAGGTCACGCAAACCCTTCTTGTCTTCACTCCACCACCATTGCCTCATTCTTCCTCCCTCTGCGCGCACTCGACCCTCACCACGACGAGCTCGTCTCACCGCTGTACGTCGTTCTCCCTTCCTTTGTGCCCGTTTGTCGCTTACTAGCCCACAGATTTGGACGACACTATGGATGCTAACCACTGCTGTCAGCTGCGCTACCCTCAATCTCACCACGCAACATTCAGCCTTCGTGGCACTGTGCACCAGGGAGCTACTGCCCACTACCGCCTTCAACACCGCGTGGCAGTCGGCTTCACCGCCTTGTCGAACTTGGACGGGGTTCATGCCGGTACGTTGTCAGATCACTTTATTGTGACTCTGCGCTTACATTGCGGTGCCAGGTGCATCCCATAACGGTCGTCTGAGGGGGAACTTATGCTCAGAGGATGAATCTATGCCGGTACGAGCTTCTCGTCACTATTGACATAAATTCTTCTGATGTATAAGCTAGATTCGCTGTTCAAGCTGGGAGGGGGGGACCTCTGTCGGTACACTATGCCGCACGAAGGCGTCGGAGATGATCTACGCGCCACGGTGAACCTCTATCGGGAGGGTGAACCTTTGCTGGTGCGAACCTCTGTTCTATTTACCTGACTCTTTACTAAGATCTGAGCTAGATTTATTGCGAGCCACTGCCTGGATTGTCCATACTTGTTTGCGCGCTGCTTGACGGCATCCATGGGCATCACCAAATAATCTCGTAAGCACTCGCCGGTCTTCCGTTCGAGCGCCAAGATGCTGATCCTTTCCACAGGATTTTGACCTCTCGGAGCCTTGTTCACCCGCAGCCAAATTCTTCTGCCAAGAGCCTCCGCATCGACACTGCCCATCAACAGCTGTGTCCGCATCAGGGCCATCACGTCGCATCAAGCGCATCAGCTGTGTATGGCGTTGATGGTTTTATGCTGGTATGCCTCTCCTATATTTGCTATCTGACAATCTGCTGACATTCACGATAGATCTATGCTGGCAGCCTCTTGAACCTAGCCTTTCCCTGCCGTTTGATGGCCATCACGGGCATCACCGAATGATTACGTAAGCACTTTCCAGCGCATCTTTTGAGCAACAAAATGCTCATTTTTTACGCAGGCCGGAGGCACATCCTGCTCTGACTCAGTGTTGCGTTGCCAGGGTGGCTTCCCTGGCACACAACTTTGCATCACGCGGCACATCACCGCCATCACCGCATCAATGTGATGCACCATCACCGCATCACTCTCACATCAATGCCCATGGCATCGGGGGTTTATGGAGCGGGACTCCATGCTAGTATGACTTTCTCCTGCTGTCTGACCATCTGTTGACAATCAACCCAGAGCTGTGCTGTCCAACTCGTCCTTTCCTCCTGATTTGATGGCCATCACGGGCATCACCGGATCATTACGTAAGCACTGTCTGGCTCCTTTTTTGAGCGGCAAATGTTGACTTTTTGCCCAGGATTTTGACCCGCCAGAGGCACGTTCTGCCCCGACTCAGTATTGCGGCGCCAGGGTTCTTCCCCTGGCCCTGTCCCTTGACCTTGCCTGTTCAAGTGCTGTGAGTTGTCTCTCACGTTCTTTTTTCGGCTTGCTTTGATGCCATCAATGCCATCTGATGGTATTTTGGCCCCCATTTTGGGCCTTCTCATGCCGAATTCAAGGCTCATTTTTTTGCAGGTCCGGGCCGCCGGAGGCACATACCGCCTCGGCTGCAACTGGGTCGTCTGTGCCTGGTCGGCACCTGGTGTGCGACTGTCCTTCGGTGAGTCTTTCGGATTGATGCCCGCTGACCCGTGACTGACTTCTCCTCAGTTGTCTCTCGGCAACCATCCCATGGCTGCCTTCTGCACTGTTTGGCTGCACTCCCTTCGCTATCTTTGATGATATCCCAGGTATGTTGTGACCTTCTTTCCGTGATCCACGACTTACTGTTTGACAGCTCAGCGCTTGATTTGATCTCGGCGACCTGCCTGTCGAGCCACCCACTTGCTGCCGCGTCGCCGTCCTCCAGCCTCGCATTGCGCCATCCCCTGCTGTCATCTCTTTCACCCGCTCTCCCAGCCGGGCCGACATGCAGACCGCTGCCGCGTTGCACCACGGCCGTTGCTTTCCAGGTCAATTCTTCACGTGTTCATACTCTGGTCACGCTCTCGGCTGGGTTCGCCTTGTCTCAGCCCCGCCGCCGTTTCCGGGCCGGTTGCGCGTCTCCCGACAGGCTGCACCACTTTGGCTGTCGCGGTCGTTTTGATGGTATTCCTAAGGTCATTTTTGCCGTCCTAGTGCATCATTCAAGGCTCACTTTTTTCTAGGTCTGGGCCGCCGGAGGCCAACGAAGCTGTCGGCTGTGTGCTGCCGCACATGGTGTGTCATTCTCCTCAGTCTATCCTGTTGCCGACTTACTCTCGTCAGCCGCAGCGGCGCCGATTAACCGGGCATGTGAAGATGGAGCTTGGGTCGATAACGCGTCCGGGCACCTCTCTCACTTTCTCTGCCGTGCTTTTCGGCCCGCCGCCCTCAAATTGATGGTATTTTTTGCTGTCATTCTCTTCGTCCTTATGCGTCAGTCAAGACTCATATTTTTACAGGTGCCGCCGGAGGCCAACGCCAACGCGGGCCTGCAACGCTGTCGGCTGTGCGTTGTGGTGTGTCATTTCTCTCGGTCTGTCGTTCTGCTGACTTAGTGTTAGATGTGGACGGCGCGGTACGACTTATTGCGGGAGCGAAATGGCGGGGCCATGGGGCAAGAGGGTGGATAGAGCGCTGTTTGTTGGGCTGCACGATGGAGCAGGAGACGGTGCTTATGGTGTTAGGGCGGATGGCGCGAAAGGACGCGTCAAAACGGACTGTAACGCGATCAAACGCGTCGCGTCGCGTGGTTAATTAGCGTGTCTCGTCGTACTTAGCAAATACATCACTTTTTGCACTCCTCTATGCCTGCCCGATAAGCCCGAGTCAGACTCTGCCCAAAAGACCCTCCATGCATGCCCGAGATGGCCCGAAATAGCTGTCATAATCCATTTTTTTCTCCCCTACTAGATTTAACCCGTGACTTTTGAGAGGTCCGTGCGCCAGCCAAAGTTGTATTTTAGAGGGGGCTCTCGCTCGCGCGACTTGGCGAGCGAGCGCGACTTAGCGTTGGAGCGAGCCGTGCAAGGGGGGGTATGGTCTGACATGTGAATATATCAAATTAATCAATCAATCGCCTTGCGCAGCAACACCATGCGGGCATACTAAGTACTTCGACAACGTCCCTGGCGACCAGCAGGGCTGACGTGGCACATCCCCGTCGCTGGCTATGAAGACAAGGTCGATGAGGTTGCGCGGGAGCGGGGTTACAAGAACAGGGACACGATTAACGTGTCGAGGGAGGGCATGGGCGAGGCCTACGAGGCGAAGATTAGGGGGTTCTTCGAAGAGTGCGTGGCCATCTCCTCATCCCTTTTGTTGTTGACGAATGCTCCCCCGCCACAGACACATGCACGAGGACGAAGAGATCCGATACATACTGAGCGGGAGCGGCTTCTTCGATGTCCGCGGTGCGTCACTGCAGCCTTTTCGCCCTCACTCTTGCTGACGATGCTTCAACAGAAACACCGTCTGACGCTTGGATTCGGGTGGCTGTTCAGCCCGGCGACCTACTTGTCCTGCCTGCTGGCATCTACCATCGCTTTACTCTGGACGAGCGGGACAACATCAAGGCCCTGCGGCTATTCCAAGACGAGCCAAAGTGGATTCCCCACGCGCGAAGCAGTGCGACTGATATCAACGACCATCGCGTGGGCTACCTGCGAGCCATAGGAGTCGGCGCTTGAGTATAGCGAGGCGGGAAGAGGAAAACCAGCCGTGTAACATGGTGTACAACAGCAACAGCATACGATGGATCTATGTTCATTCGATTCGCTCCGGAAGCCATCATGCCAATGTCCTACGACCAAATCCACGCCTCGTATTTCTACGCTCCGAGGACCCGATGCGCGCTACTTTGCGATTGAGTGACATTCAATACGACCAGAGCTAAACAATTAACTACGGCCACGGCCAGCATCTCCATTTACTCGATTGCGATTCCGAGCCGCTGATTTCAGGAAATCCCTATCACTCCACCCTCTTGCGCAGTAACACCTGCCCCCGCGTGTTCGGATTTATGCGAATGCCATAGACCTCGTCAGGAGGCCGCACGCCATCGACGACGGCTTTCACATCGTAGTTCAGCACGAGGTGTGCGAGCATAGCCTTGAGCTCGGTTGCGGCGAAGAAGCGGCCCTGGTTCCATTATCAAAAGTAGAGCGCAAGAAAGAAGTGCTCACGGGACAGGCGTGCTTGCCGGTGCCGAAGGGCAGGTGGTCCGGAGCGGTGGTGATCATTTGCCGCCCCAACGCATGCTTCTCGACACTGGGCTCCGCCTCCTCTTTCGCTATCTGGGCGTCTCGCTCGCGTGCGAAGCGGAAACCATCAAACTCCTTCGCGTTCTCGTAGTTGGCTGGTTCCACTGCTCAGGGTGAAATTCGGGCCGGGAAGAATGGGGCTCACCGTCGTCGACGTGTGCAGGCATTGCAGCAACGCAGATGAATGCACCGTGGGGCAAATATGTCCCGTCCGATAGCGTCACGCCGTCGCGTGCAACCACACGGCGGGTCATGCCAACCGGGCCGTTCCCATGCATGCGCTGCGACTCGCGGAGGAAGCTGTCGATCAAGTGCATGTTCCCCAGCGCGGCCTTGCTCCACCCCTCGTCTGCGATCACCGCCTCGACCTCGGCGCGCATGGGCAGCAGATATTTCGCGGGCTCGAACGACGCGAGCGAGTACAGCATGTGGGTGAAAGCCTGGGTACGGCATCGGATTCGCATAGAAGAACAGAAAGACAAAGGGCGCACCATAGAGGTCGTGTGGATGGCCGCCATATTGACCGCCAGGATGCGCATGACAATGCCCTCCACAGTTCGGTTGTCCCCGTGTGCAATTTCGAGGATCCACGAGATCAAGTCGTTCTGTTGAATCGGTGTTCTGTTCAGCACAAAGTGAAGCAGTAAACGGAGACGCACGGGCTTGCCCGACCAATCCGGCCCGTACTCGTCTTCCTGCCGCATCCGCTCTGCCACGACCGGCCCTAGTAACCGCATGGCCGTGTCGAACGACTTGTTCCGCTTGGTGATCAAGGGGCCGAGCATCCTGTCCAATTATCAATGTGGATGCAAATTGCGAGGACAAGCCACTGACGGGCGCAGGAACGGCGGCAACAGGCCGATGTTCTTGGAGCTAGCCATGACGTCGATGGTGTACTGCACATTATTGTCGAGGTATGCCTTATTTAGACCTGCAAATGGATATTAATGCATCCAAGAACTTGTTGGGGCACGTACAGAGCGGCAAGCCAACAAACAGGCGATTGCTAACCCGCGCGACGATATCCATAATCGTCGGCAGGACATAGACGGACTTCCACTCCGTGCGCAGGCCAACTATCTCGTCGAAGCCACAGACGATCTCGTCGCGGACATCAGGGAAGCGAGCGTGAAGGTTGCGCGTCAGGGTTGTGCGCACGACAGCGAGGTGGTATGGGTTGTCGATCACCTCGTGCCCCATGGTTATCCGCGCTGAAGGGACCGCTATCAGGAAATTGCGCGAGACGCTGGAGAATACACACATTGTACGATCTGCAGCAGACAAGTCAGCGCAATTCAAACGGCGAAGAAAGAGACATACCTCCTCGACGCCCTCGGTGAATGACACGACGTTCTCGGGCAGCCCACCGATCTCCTTGACGAGGCGCGTCCCACAGGCGACGTATTCCCAGTACCACATGCGCGCGACACGGAACACTGCGTTGGGGTAGAGCCCTCCTGTCCTCCCGCGTGGAAGGTCTGATTCGCGCGCCCTGGATCGAAGATGCCGCGGGTCGAGGTGGGCATTTGGCGACGCAACCTCCCGCGTGGCTCGGTCAGCTCAAAGCGCAGCGGCGTGTTTGGTGTCTAGAAGAAGGTGGTGCCGAAATATATTGATTCTCGTGTATGCAAGTCGACTCTACGACGGATGCTTGTTTGAAAGTCAATCTCGCAGGAGCACGCACCTCAAACCTCGCACGACAATACGCTCTCTACCGTCTCGACGTCTCGCCCCGGCTCCAGAGCCTCATCCGTGCTCCAAACGCCCCGTCTTCGCGTCCCGCAATGAGCTCTGTGGGAAGCTTGCTTCATGTCAGGCCCGCACTGTAGAAGAACAGCATCAAGACTCACCTCTACTCTGCCCCCGATACACACGATGAGGAAAAAGCGTGGGCCAGCGACCGGCTCCATCCGTAGAGCCGTGTCCCGCTCACACCCAGCCATGTCACGCTTGTCGCGCACCGGCTGGCAATCCAACGGCGGGCGGCAGTGGCCGGACAAGGGGCGGGGGATGGTCGTGAGGGTGAGGGAGGAAAAAACGTGGGATGGCAACCGGCCTGATCGGGCCTGACTCACCCGTCGCCGGGCACGTGCCCCTTATCAACCACTCTTCTCCCGTCTCTTTCCCCGCGCCTGCTGCCCCGCCCCGCCCGCCTACCGCATGCCCCGGGCACAGCAGAGGTGTTCCGCGTCTCAACGGACCACAACAGCCGCAGCGCTTGCCGTAGACGGCATTCTCGCCAGCCGCGGCCCCTCAGTGCTCACTCAGCAGCAACAGCGCCGAATCTGTCTACTACGGCGCTCACTACTCGCTCAAGTCCACTCTTCCGCCCTCATTGCTACCCACGACGACCAGTGCCCCACCACAAGCGACCTCCCCCCGCAATTCCTTGCCGCGAATGCCTCCGGAACCGCCGAATCGATGCTAAGCAAGAATCTGGTCAATGTCCTGGGCGACGACAACGAAGAGACTCATACCTGCGGGCCCAACGCGCAGCGCCAGCTCTCACTCTCAACGTGTCATCACGTTCACAGTCGGCGATAACTACCGGGCGCCTCGGAACCCGCCGAATGCACGCTAAGAGTCAGTCAGCAAGCTCGGCAGCAATGAAGACCAGACCTACACAACGAGCTCGCAAAGCCTTTTGCGCAAGCGTCCGCTGGGGTCGTTGACAACAGCAGCGCAAGAACTACGGCGAGGTAAGCACAGGGAATGAGCCGATAAGCGACTACTCACTCATGATAGAGGTGATGAGGATGGTAGACACAACGACGAGCATAGTGGCTGCGGCGTCAACGATGGTCTACTGATATGTGAGCAAGCGGACCAATAACGTGAAGAGTACTCACCAAGCGCAAGGTCCCCGGCAGACACGAGGGCAACGGTGGCCTGTCGAACCAGCAGCATGGCGCTCGACTTCAAGTTGGACAGTAAGCGTAACGCGGGAGGGAACCTACTGCGGGGTAAGCCCAGGCAAACGAGCGGATAGATGTTGTTTACACTCACCAGTTTCAGGCCCGACGACAACGTCAACCCGTGTTCCCATCAAGGCAACGCCCTTGTCATCAGAAGATACTGCGAAAACGACCATAAGTCGCAAAGTCAAGACGACGACGACAACTCACTTGGATCCGCTCCAGCAACAACGGCCACCATCGGCATCCCAGAGCCATGACCTGTCGACAACGGTGAGCGACGCAACGGACCAGAGAGCGCGGATGGTGACCCACAGGCCAACTCGGGCGTTGTCGGCACCAGTAGGAGAACCACCGGCGGCGTCGTTGAGAGCAACGACGACTGCGACATGACGGTGAGTGTGAAGTCAGCGAGGCAGTGCGGGAGACTCACATGCATTGTCGCAGCCTACAACGCAACGTTGAAGACGACGAGGAGCGAGCACAAAGGGGGGGAGAATGGGGGGAAAGAGAAAGAGAGACACGCGCGATGGTTGAACGGCGTGGGTTCTTATAGGGCTGGCGCTTCGCGTAAGCGACGGGCATGTCGTTACCACCGAGAACTTCTTCAAAATGGAGACATGTTGGTTTCAACGCCGTAAGCGAGCGGGCAGTGGGAGTACCGGATATCTCGCGCGAGTGCGTCTCAAGCATTCTTGCCAATTACCTCAAGCTCAAAGGTGGGGACTATATTCTTTCAGCCAGCGTTGGATAAGCAGAGGAACCAAGCACAAAGTCCGCGAGACGGAGATACTTTGCTCCACAAACGGCGACAGCTGTCCATCTGTCAAATGGACGTTGTGCGGAAATTTGCGCGGCAACACGGCCTTCATGAAATGGAAACCAGGGTGAGCCCCGGAATTAATTCATGAAGATCGTACGATTGAGGGTCGTTCTGAGGCATGTTCTGGGTAGGGCTTGTCTATTAATATATATCTGTAGACTTAATCGGCCAGCTCGGCGCCCGCTTGGTCAATGGAGGCGCAAAATGAAAGAAAATGGTTTTTGTTGAAAGGAGCAGGATCGTGTTCTGCGATAAGTCTCGGGCAAGCCTCGGGGGATTGACAGTCGTGATATAAATAACTTTCCTGAATGAAGTCCGCCGGTAGGTGGAGCGGCGCGAGAATCCGAGCCATACCGGATGAATTACTGGATTTGGGTAAGGGTAGTACTTAGTGATGGCGCACCAATATCGCGCATCGGGCACTGGGAGTGGGGCAGTGGAAAATAGAGCAATATCTACAGAAGAAACGCGTCATTTTGCGGTGAACTCCGAACAAAATGACGCGAAAAAAGGGATGATTGGCTGAAACTCGGAAACAAAAGGAATGGAACGTTAGCAGGAGAAAATGGGGCAGGAGCGGAGCCAGCAGAGCGAGGAGGACGATACAGAGAGCCTCGCTCAGGGTTACATCAGGGTCGCCTCGGCCGGCCTGTCATGGCATTCCCGATCATTAATATTACTCTGTCGGCGGCTTCTTTCTTCCGTGATAACGAAAGCAACCCTGAATCGCCTCGCCGTCGGTCATTTGCTGCTCCCCGAGGCTCGCGACGCGACGGGTGCGCGGTAACTACTGAGGCAACTAAATATAGTCGTCGGCCGGCAATACCCGGTGTGCCCACGATAAGGACTTGGCCTGCTAAAATGCAATTTTCTCTGAATACTATCTAAACTTCTATTGCTTCCACCAGTCCTCCATCCTGTCTATTGGCAGACAGCCAGCTTGCTTGCGCAGACTCTAAAAATAATTCACGTAACAACTACGTCATGGGCCGTTCTCGACCGCCGGGCATGGATACCGTCGCCCGGAATAATTTTAACCCCGGCTCAGTCATACTCCGTGATAAAAATATCGCCGTCGCTCGTGAGTCATGCGAGTGATCAGCATCAATCCAGGCTTGACCATCGCCATCGCCATCGCCCTCCGCAACGCCCCCTTTCGTTTATCATCCAGCCGCTGGCCACATGCGCCTCCCACAACGCTATTCGCCACCGCTGGGCCGACTCCGCGTTGCATGGTCGCCTGCTGGAGGCAGTGGGCGCTGGGGCTATGACTGGGGTTACTCTGCGTCTGTGCGCGTGCCGATGCATGGGTGGCCACTGGCGCACTACAGCGGGCAGCCCCCGCTGGGCATAACCATTGACTCGTGAGTGCTTTGCCATCACCTCCGTTCACCGACCCTGACTCGGTGACAGCGAAAATGCCGCAACGTGATGCCCGTCATCACGAATCAAATCATCAACAAGGTCACGCAAACCCTTCTTGTCTTCACTCCACCACCATTGCCTCATTCTTCCTCCCTCTGCGCGCACTCGACCCTCACCACGACGAGCTCGTCTCACCGCTGTACGTCGTTCTCCCTTCCTTTGTGCCCGTTTGTCGCTTACTAGCCCACAGATTTGGACGACACTATGGATGCTAACCACTGCTGTCAGCTGCGCTACCCTCAATCTCACCACGCAACATTCAGCCTTCGTGGCACTGTGCACCAGGGAGCTACTGCCCACTACCGCCTTCAACACCGCGTGGCAGTCGGCTTCACCGCCTTGTCGAACTTGGACGGGGTTCATGCCGGTACGTTGTCAGATCACTTTATTGTGACTCTGCGCTTACATTGCGGTGCCAGGTGCATCCCATAACGGTCGTCTGAGGGGGAACTTATGCTCAGAGGATGAATCTATGCCGGTACGAGCTTCTCGTCACTATTGACATAAATTCTTCTGATGTATAAGCTAGATTCGCTGTTCAAGCTGGGAGGGGGGGACCTCTGTCGGTACACTATGCCGCACGAAGGCGTCGGAGATGATCTACGCGCCACGGTGAACCTCTATCGGGAGGGTGAACCTTTGCTGGTGCGAACCTCTGTTCTATTTACCTGACTCTTTACTAAGATCTGAGCTAGATTTATTGCGAGCCACTGCCTGGATTGTCCATACTTGTTTGCGCGCTGCTTGACGGCATCCATGGGCATCACCAAATAATCTCGTAAGCACTCGCCGGTCTTCCGTTCGAGCGCCAAGATGCTGATCCTTTCCACAGGATTTTGACCTCTCGGAGCCTTGTTCACCCGCAGCCAAATTCTTCTGCCAAGAGCCTCCGCATCGACACTGCCCATCAACAGCTGTGTCCGCATCAGGGCCATCACGTCGCATCAAGCGCATCAGCTGTGTATGGCGTTGATGGTTTTATGCTGGTATGCCTCTCCTATATTTGCTATCTGACAATCTGCTGACATTCACGATAGATCTATGCTGGCAGCCTCTTGAACCTAGCCTTTCCCTGCCGTTTGATGGCCATCACGGGCATCACCGAATGATTACGTAAGCACTTTCCAGCGCATCTTTTGAGCAACAAAATGCTCATTTTTTACGCAGGCCGGAGGCACATCCTGCTCTGACTCAGTGTTGCGTTGCCAGGGTGGCTTCCCTGGCACACAACTTTGCATCACGCGGCACATCACCGCCATCACCGCATCAATGTGATGCACCATCACCGCATCACTCTCACATCAATGCCCATGGCATCGGGGGTTTATGGAGCGGGACTCCATGCTAGTATGACTTTCTCCTGCTGTCTGACCATCTGTTGACAATCAACCCAGAGCTGTGCTGTCCAACTCGTCCTTTCCTCCTGATTTGATGGCCATCACGGGCATCACCGGATCATTACGTAAGCACTGTCTGGCTCCTTTTTTGAGCGGCAAATGTTGACTTTTTGCCCAGGATTTTGACCCGCCAGAGGCACGTTCTGCCCCGACTCAGTATTGCGGCGCCAGGGTTCTTCCCCTGGCCCTGTCCCTTGACCTTGCCTGTTCAAGTGCTGTGAGTTGTCTCTCACGTTCTTTTTTCGGCTTGCTTTGATGCCATCAATGCCATCTGATGGTATTTTGGCCCCCATTTTGGGCCTTCTCATGCCGAATTCAAGGCTCATTTTTTTGCAGGTCCGGGCCGCCGGAGGCACACATACCGCCTCGGCTGCAACTGGGTCGTCTGTGCCTGGTCGGCACCTGGTGTGCGACTGTCCTTCGGTGAGTCTTTCGGATTGATGCCCGCTGACCCGTGACTGACTTCTCCTCAGTTGTCTCTCGGCAACCATCCCATGGCTGCCTTCTGCACTGTTTGGCTGCACTCCCTTCGCTATCTTTGATGATATCCCAGGTATGTTGTGACCTTCTTTCCGTGATCCACGACTTACTGTTTGACAGCTCAGCGCTTGATTTGATCTCGGCGACCTGCCTGTCGAGCCACCCACTTGCTGCCGCGTCGCCGTCCTCCAGCCTCGCATTGCGCCATCCCCTGCTGTCATCTCTTTCACCCGCTCTCCCAGCCGGGCCGACATGCAGACCGCTGCCGCGTTGCACCACGGCCGTTGCTTTCCAGGTCAATTCTTCACGTGTTCATACTCTGGTCACGCTCTCGGCTGGGTTCGCCTTGTCTCAGCCCCGCCGCCGTTTCCGGGCCGGTTGCGCGTCTCCCGACAGGCTGCACCACTTTGGCTGTCGCGGTCGTTTTGATGGTATTCCTAAGGTCATTTTTGCCGTCCTAGTGCATCATTCAAGGCTCACTTTTTTCTAGGTCTGGGCCGCCGGAGGCCAACGAAGCTGTCGGCTGTGTGCTGCCGCACATGGTGTGTCATTCTCCTCAGTCTATCCTGTTGCCGACTTACTCTCGTCAGCCGCAGCGGCGCCGATTAACCGGGCATGTGAAGATGGAGCTTGGGTCGATAACGCGTCCGGGCACCTCTCTCACTTTCTCTGCCGTGCTTTTCGGCCCGCCGCCCTCAAATTGATGGTATTTTTTGCTGTCATTCTCTTCGTCCTTATGCGTCAGTCAAGACTCATATTTTTACAGGTGCCGCCGGAGGCCAACGCCAACGCGGGCCTGCAACGCTGTCGGCTGTGCGTTGTGGTGTGTCATTTCTCTCGGTCTGTCGTTCTGCTGACTTAGTGTTAGATGTGGACGGCGCGGTACGACTTATTGCGGGAGCGAAATGGCGGGGCCATGGGGCAAGAGGGTGGATAGAGCGCTGTTTGTTGGGCTGCACGATGGAGCAGGAGACGGTGCTTATGGTGTTAGGGCGGATGGCGCGAAAGGACGCGTCAAAACGGACTGTAACGCGATCAAACGCGTCGCGTCGCGTGGTTAATTAGCGTGTCTCGTCGTACTTAGCAAATACATCACTTTTTGCACTCCTCTATGCCTGCCCGATAAGCCCGAGTCAGACTCTGCCCAAAAGACCCTCCATGCATGCCCGAGATGGCCCGAAATAGCTGTCATAATCCATTTTTTTCTCCCCTACTAGATTTAACCCGTGACTTTTGAGAGGTCCGTGCGCCAGCCAAAGTTGTATTTTAGAGGGGGCTCTCGCTCGCGCGACTTGGCGAGCGAGCGCGACTTAGCGTTGGAGCGAGCCGTGCAAGGGGGGGTATGGTCTGACATGTGAATATATCAAATTAATCAATCAATCGCCTTGCGCAGCAACACCATGCGGGCATACTAAGTACTTCGACAACGTCCCTGGCGACCAGCAGGGCTGACGTGGCACATCCCCGTCGCTGGCTATGAAGACAAGGTCGATGAGGTTGCGCGGGAGCGGGGTTACAAGAACAGGGACACGATTAACGTGTCGAGGGAGGGCATGGGCGAGGCCTACGAGGCGAAGATTAGGGGGTTCTTCGAAGAGTGCGTGGCCATCTCCTCATCCCTTTTGTCGCTGACGAATGCTCCCCCGCCACAGACACATGCACGAGGACGAAGAGATCCGATACATACTGAGCGGGAGCGGCTTCTTCGATGTCCGCGGTGCGTCACTGCAGCCTTTTCGCCCTCACTCTTGCTGACGATGCTTCAACAGAAACACCGTCTGACGCTTGGATTCGGGTGGCTGTTCAGCCCGGCGACCTACTTGTCCTGCCTGCTGGCATCTACCATCGCTTTACTCTGGACGAGCGGGACAACATCAAGGCCCTGCGGCTATTCCAAGACGAGCCAAAGTGGATTCCCCACGCGCGAAGCAGTGCGACTGATATCAACGACCATCGCGTGGGCTACCTGCGAGCCATAGGAGTCGGCGCTTGAGTATAGCGAGGCGGGAAGAGGAAAACCAGCCGTGTAACATGGTGTACAACGGCAACAGCATACGATGGATCTATGTTCATTCGATTCGCTCCGGAAGCCATCATGCCAATGTCCTACGACCAAATCCACGCCTCGTATTTCTACGCTCCGAGGACCCGATGCGCGCTACTTTGCGATTGAGTGACATTCAATACGACAAGAGCTAAACAATTAACTACGGCCACGGCCAGCATCTCCATTTCGATTCCGAGCTGCTGATTTCAGGAAATCCATCATCTATCACTCCACCCTCTTGCGCAGCAACACCTGCCCCCGCGTGTTCGGATTTATGCGAATGCCATAGACCTCGTCAGGAGGCCGCACGCCATCCACGACGGCCTTGACATCGTAGTTCAACACGAGGTGCGCGAGCATAGCCTTGAGCTCGGTTGCGGCGAAGAAGCGGCCCTGGTTCCATTATCAAAAGTAGAGCGCAAGAAAGAAGTGCTCACGGGACAGGCGTGCTTGCCGGTGCCGAAGGGCAGGTGGTCCGGAGCGGTGGTGATCATTTGCCGCCCCAACGCATGCTTCTCGACACTAGGCTCCGCCTCCTCTTTCGCTATCTGGGCGTCTCGCTCGCGTGCGAAGCGGAAACCATCAAACTCCTTCGCGTTCTCGTAGTTGGCTGGTTCCACTGCTCAGGGTGAAATTCGGTCCGGGAAGAATGGGGCTCACCGTCGTCAACGTGCGCAGGCATTGCAGCAACACAGATGAATGCACCGTGGGGCAAATATGTCCCGTCCGATAGCGTCACGCCGTCGCGTGCAACCACACGGCGGGTCATTCCAACCGGGCCGTTCCCATGCATGCGCTGCGACTCGCGGAGGAAGCTGTCGATCAAGTGCATATTCCCCAGCGCGGCCTTGCTCCACCCCTCGTCTGCGATCACCGCCTCGACCTCGGCGCGCATGGGCAGCAGATATTTCGCGGGCTCGAACGACGCGAGCGAGTACAGCATGTGGGTGAAAGCCTGGGTACGGCATCGGATTCGCATAGAAGAACAGAAAGACAAAGGGCGCACCATAGAGGTCGTGTGGATGGCCGCCATATTGACCGCCAGGATGCGCATGACAATGCCCTCCACAGTTCGGTTGTCCCCGTGTGCAATTTCGAGGATCCACGAGATCAAGTCGTTCTGTTGAATCGGTGTTCTGTTCAGCACAAAGTGAAGCAGTAAACGGAGACGCACGGGCTTGCCCGACCAATCCGGCCCGTACTCGTCTTCCTGCCGCATCCGCTCTGCCACGACCGGCCCTAGTAACCGCATGGCCGTGTCGAACGACTTGTTCCGCTTGGTGATCAAGGGGCCGAGCATCCTGTCCAATTATCAATGTGGATGCAAATTGCGAGGACAAGCCACTGACGGGCGCAGGAACGGCGGCAACAGGCCGATGTTCTTGGAGCTAGCCATGACGTCGATGGTGTACTGCACATTATTGTCGAGGTACGCCTTATTTCGGCCTGCAAACGAATATTAATGCATCCAAGAACTTGTTGGGGCACGTACAGAGCGGCAAGCCAACAAACAGGCGATTGCTAACCCGCGCGACGATATCCATAATCGTCGGCAGGACATAGACGGACTTCCACTCCGTGCGCAGGCCAACTATCTCGTCGAAGCCACAGACGATCTCGTCGCGGACATCAGGGAAGCGAGCGTGAAGGTTGCGCGTCAGGGTTGTGCGCACGACAGCGAGGTGGTATGGGTTGTCGATCACCTCGTGGCCCATGGTTATCCGCGCTGAAGGGACCGCTATCAGGAAATTGCGCGAGACGATGGAGAATACCCACATTGTACGATCTGCAGCAGCCAAGTCAGCGCAATTGAAACGGCGAAGAAACAGACATACCTCCTCGACGCCCTCGGTGAACGACACGACATTCTCGGGCAGCCCACCGATCTCCTTGACGAGGCGCGTCCCACAGGCGACGTATTCCCAGTACCACATTCGCGCGACACGGAACACTGCGTTGGGGTGGAGCTCGTACCCGCGGTTGATCATGGCGGGCGCATGCTCGATGAAAGAAAGAGCGTCGCGGTAGCTGGTAAGCGGGCCGAACGACGGTGTCGGAGGGCGGACAATGGGGACCTGGGACACAAGTCCATGTTTGTTGAGACGAAGTCAGATGGGATGACGGATCATCGTACCCGGCTTGCTTTGCGGGAGCGCTTCGCGAGTGCGACGAGGAGCCCAGTGAGAAGGAGCAGAAAGAGAAGAATGCGGTCGTCCATGGGAGCCTGGCACCAGTCACTCGCTGCGGGGCGCCCTTTTAACACTCACGGCAGAAATTTCCCAGGGATTGTCGTCTATTATCGTCCCACTTCGAGACGCCAGATCGCAGGCTATTTTGGCTCTCGAGGCCATGGCCGGAAATCGTACAGTACACGCTGTTCAGCGTTCGTGTGAGTCGTTCCCTCCAGCGCCTTCATCCTACATCAGCTGCAGTCCGTGGCCAGCGTCGCATGCATCCTCCTGCGGGGCGGAGAGTTACGGAGAGGGTACGGCGAACTGAAAACTCCGGAAGGAAGAAGAAGAGCTGCCAGCCTGCCACGTCGCTGACGGCGCCGCTGCATAATCATCCTGACCACTTTTGCCGAGCGTGATGTTGCCAGCCTTGATCGAGTGGCTTGGCCGCGCCTTCGCAGGCTGCATCCGTGGCCTTTTTGGATACAAAAATAACTAAATATTTGGTGTGGCACAATAGGATTATTTAGTGAAGATTTACCAAGTAAAATTGAGGTATCTCATCTTAATTTCTTCATAATCTTACTATAGCTAATCATCATCAATCTTCAACTGCCGAACATCGTCATCATGCTTATGGTCGAGCAATGGCCGGCGCCAAGCCAGCGCGGTGGATCTGCTTCCATGGCAAATCGGTGTGGGTAAAAGAGGTGAAAGAAGCAGAATCTCGGTCTTCCGCGCCGCGGTTACCAGGGACATCCGAAGAACAGCCCGTTTTCCGCCTATCCACCATTAACCCCTCGATCGACGTATTACACTGTCAATATCTGTCGCAGAAACCTTATTCTCGAAGGGCAGCGTCATGCTGAGGTCAGTAAGGACCCCTGATAATACAGTCCCATTAGTGATACTAATTCGGACAGGATTGGGTCCAAAAGTGCGAAACGCTTTGATGACTGGTTCGGACGAAAATCCAGAACACTTTGAGGCCTATGACGGACATATTTGGCTGCCCTGCCTGGCCTATCACCCCGGCCTATGTCTGTTGACTTCTTGGACCAGCGGTTTTGAGCGTCGTGTGTGGGCATTGCTGACTTGGCAGTATTTTCTGTTGATCCTCGTTTCAGGGTTCTGCAAAATTTCTCTTTGATGTGCCATCAAAATTTGATCCCCCAGGCACTCGGAAACTTATTCGGACAAATTTTGTCCAATTTTGGCCGCTTGTTTGATTCACCTTAGGTCTTCCCAGTTGCAAGAACTTGGCCTCATCTAGGGAATGGCACGGATAGGTGCAATCTGTACAGATACACAGATTTTATCCGTACGGATATGGATATGGATACAAATAGAACTTTCCATATCCATGATACCCAAGGATAAGTGAACACTTGAAGGTATGAGTGTCAATAGGGGGGATAATATGCTCCAGCAGGCTAAAACAGATATTATTACATATTGGTTTGATGGTACATAGGCATAGAGACATTTTTGTACTACCTTGATAAAACTTCTATATAAATATCTTCTCCAATCCATGGGTAAATCTGTATCTGTATCCATGGATATGGGTACACAGCCACCATAGATACGGATACCGATAGAGTCCCACATATCCAAGGGTATATCTGTGCCACTCCCTAGCCTCATCCATTTGAATGCATTGAAGGATGGGCATATTGACAGGCCATCAGGCAATTTCCTGATGAGCCTCGCCACTCCCCAGCTGTGTGCGCCGGGACAGGCTGGAGACGGCGACCAATGGTCATAGGCCAATGATGTGGAAGGGTTTGCTGCCTGCTAGGTAGCTGACTGTAATGTACTATTTCAATTAATTGTCTGTGTTACACATTACCGGTCCCTGCGCAGACACCTGGGCCCGCCGTTATGTGTTCCAGTCCGGTTTGCCAACAAATAAAGGCCTAAAGATGTAATTTTTTGTGACATTTAAGGTAATCCAGACACCTTGTTTGGCGGACAGGGACAATTAATCGAAATAGTATAGTATATTGTTTGTAGCTGCTGCTGCGAACTTGATAAACTTTTACATTGTTAGATTTCTCTGGCATTTATTGGTGGTTTGCCTTTTTAGAAGAGTGTAATTGGCAGTTGCAAAGAAGAAGAAGCAGAACTTGAAAAAGAAGATGGTTTCTAGATCCAATGCTATAGAGAGAAAATCTACTGATTATATACAAGCTCTTGCACCTCAATCATTGTAGCCAGGTTCCTGAACATATATGAGTAAAAGAAAATAGGAATGTCCTTATTGGAGAAAACAAAGGGAGTAAAATAACAGAAGATAATTCCAATAGGTTCTGGTTTCCATCTAGATGAATAGAAGGGTGTTCATGTGGCATATAGTAGGTCACAGGTGCTTAAGATGGGTGAGCATAGAATAAGAAATATTCATTTCATGCATTATCTGAAAGCTAGCTAGAATAATTGAAATCAGGGTATGATTAAGTAGTGATTTTCACTGGCATATTGAGTGTAGACAACTATTTCTTCTTCTTCTTCTCTACAACTAAATACTTTCAAAAAAAAAATGAAAATGAAAAAAAAAAGCAATCACCAACAAGTTCCAGAAAAATCCAAATTTACATTTTATACTTATAGCATGGATAATTAGGTATTGTTCTGGTTGGTTCCAGCCAAATTCAGCAAGAAATTGCAGTGTAAATATCTGTCTATAAATGTTGAATTTTATAGTAATTTTGCAAACTCTCTATTTACAGGTTGTGATGTCTATCCTAATGGAGGGTGTTCATAAGGGATATGGTGAGTTAGATAGAAATGCTCAAAGTAGGTAAGTACAGAGAAGAAACATTTCTTTCCAAATTTTTCACTACTATGATTGAAGTGTAAGAGTTAGTGGATGATTCATAGATTTCACCTCCATAGTAGACCTAGAAACAACTTGTTGTTCTTCTCTGCAACTACATTCTTCCAAAAAAGGGAATCCCAATAAATAATAGAAAATCCAAGAATGTAAGTAATTTTTTTCAAGTTGGAAACAGTCTGTTTATTATCATTTTCTATAAGTACTGGTAGCAGGAATAATCATGTCTTGTTCTGGTTTTTTGCAGCCAAATTCATTGAGAAATGCAGCGTAAATATCAGTCTATAAATGATAGTTTTTTTTTATAAAAAAAACTGCTAATACTTTTCAAAGTCAGTGAAGATAATTATACATTATGCCCTTCATTTATTGCCAGATCTTGTCAGGGGAACCCCCGCTTCGGCCTCCTTCGGACCGTCCGAATGCATCCGAGGCACATCTGACCGGCGCCCCCTCGGACACTCCGACCCACCCCAACCCTTGTCCTCAGCCTCCTTCGCCTGCACAATTACTGCACCTGTGTAGCCCATAGTTGACTACCAGTTATCAGGTGGGATGCGCTAAGTCGACACTGACAAGCCAGGGCTCTATCCAGGGTTCCCATATAAATGAATAATTATCGAAAACAGGAATGAATAATATGGACTTCTCAAAACCTCTCAGACCTTTTTTTGCCCAAGTCAACAATATTGACACTTGTCACTGTGGATACAGGTATGAATAGTAATCAATATATATCTGTAATTTATACACATAAGTAACTGATGTAAATGACAAGACCTAGGAAATGAAGCACAATGAATAATTTGAACTACAGGTAGTGCTGTGTAACATACTGTCCCAAAAAGGGAATTTTAGTTGGTCCTACTGCCTGTATATAGTGTCATATTCAGTGACTAGCATGATAAATTTCCTAAAAAGGAACTTTCCTAGTATAATCATCAAAAGATGTCACAGATTGTCACAAAATCAAAGTTCTATATTTTGACTATATAAACAACTTTCATTAAGTGATTTGTAGTGGCAGCTAAATAGTTGTGGCAGCACTGGCTAATCACTAACTGATATACAACTGATGAGCCTCTATCTTTATAACTACTCAAGATAAATGCATGATTGAAGTACCATTAGGAAGGTTATCAAGGGGTATCATTGATTTACTATGGTAGTTGATCAACATCATATGATATAATCACAATATTGACTATTTATTTATATAAACAGGAATATCTGGTACTTAAATAATGTAAGGTGACTGACTTGTAACTTTATGTACTCCAATCTAGTGATCTAGCATGTCCAGCTCTAGCCCAAAGTGAATATAGTACTGAAAATGGTTTCATCAGTGGTATTTGATCTTCATTAACTCTCTAAACTAGTACTGCATGCACGTGTCTTAGAATGTTCCAAGGGGGTTCAAGATCCTTATCAGGCACATGGGGTAGGGGGAAGGGGGGGAGGGTCCCAGGGGGGTAAAAAAAACTTTTTGTATATGAAGGATTTGGGCCTTATATGGGTGTAAAGACACTGAAAATATAGTGTATACACTCCAATTTCTATAGTTCACAACCCTCATACTTATATCTATATACTTTCAGGCCCATAAGCTTGGATAGCCCACTCTGTTATAGGTCCATGGACAGGTAATTGATGAGAGGTGAACATGTTAAAGAGTTGATATGGCCTGCCATGTGTGTTTGAAGGTTCCAGGTACATATATACATACACATATATTAAAAAAATTGCAAAAAAAAAGTTTCACAAAGATGAAATTTTTTATCCCACTTTTTGATTGGAATGTTCACCCCAATTCATTGTCAGGGGATGAGGGTCCAGGTGCCTAGTTGATACCAAAGCCGGGGGAACAACCCCACGGCCAACTACTTAAGTGTGAGATAAGTTGGCGACCGATGAGGTAGCAGCCGCTGCGATGTAGCTGTAATACGTGATTTATGGATGCTTTTGTGTGACCTGGCGTGACATCTCACGTATATTCGCGTCTTCGACTTCTCTAGCTTTTCGCAGCTATTTCTCACCTCCCAGCCTTCTTCGCGCGATGCAGCTCTACAAAGCAGGAGAAATGTTGCCCACCGCCGGTGTTCAGGTCCCATATCCCGCGAATTTCGACTTCGAGGCCAAGATGACGGCTCCCAAAGCAGTCATCTCTTTTTTCCTCTCTTCGCAAGACCGCAATTGCTATAACTGCGAGGTCGAGGA